TTCAATTTCCCTTATTAAATTTTCATTGAAGTCTATTTTACTTTTGATACCTAGTTATTATTCTTAAATTATTCAATTTCTTTGAGTTTGGTCAGTTTTCATTATATTTTTTCTATTTTTTTTTTTTTTTTGTCCATTTCTTAGTTTAAGAATTTTTGTTCCAGGTGTGTGTGAATGTGTGTGTGTGTATGTGTGTGTGTGTGCACGCGCACACGTGTATATCTCCAGATGCTTGTTGAGGGTACTTAAGAGTGTTGTCTTACAATTTTCTTTTGTTTCATGTTTCATTATTTGGTGAGAATTTTTATTAGCTGAGATGTTTGTATTTAAATTTTCATGTTTTCTTCTTACAGGAGCTTATACGTAGTTTGTTTAATTTTTTTCTATTCTTTCACATTCCATGCACTGGGTTACTAGTTCAAGAGTGCCCTTTCCTGTCAGTTTTGCAAATACAATTTTTTTTTTTTTTAAATGGATGATGTTGATGGTGGGGAGGAAGGGGTAGGATTGGTCTGAGTTGTTTTATTTTTGTGACTACTGAACCCTTAATTCTCCCTCTTACTTCCTTTTTTTCCTTCACTGCAGTGTCTCTGAAGGGCATAACCCATTCTCTATTTATGTTTTTCTCTTCTAGAAGTCATGGTTCTCTGAGGCTGCCTGCCACTTTGGATTCTGCTTACTTTTGAGTTCCTTCCCTATACCCAGTGCTATGAAGTACGGACTTGTGTTCATATTTTGGAACTTAGTGTTTTACTTTTTATTTCTTAGGATGATTGTGTCTGAGTGGTGTCTATGTCCTCCACGCCCTTCTCTTTTTCTTTCTTGGGGTCTCTTAAGCTTCCTCTCACCCTACTCTTATAGCAGCAGACGTTATACTTTTTGTTTATGCTTGTTGGTAGTTTGAAGTGTGTTATATTCTCTGTCTCCTGGTAATGCTGATGGCATAGGTCATGTGTGATTTAATTTATACTCCTTGATAAACTTAGAATTTTTTTTTTTTTTTGAGCTTGTGTAGAGAGATTCAGATTCAGATGGCTGCCATTATCCTCTTTATCAGAAATCCTTAGACTGTAATAATTTGTTAACCAAAAGACATTGTGTAATCACTATAAAACATGTGTCTCAGTGGAATACTTATGGTAAAATTGGCATTATAGTAAAATTATAACTTACATAATAACTATTCTTCTTATAACCATTATAATAGAAATTCTTGGGGTTTGCTTTTAGTTCTAAATAATTATCTTCTTTAAGTAAAATAAATATAGGAACAGACATAGGAACCATAGGTTTCAACACTAGAAAGGATATTAATTATTGTATAATCTAGAATATTGGAGCTCACAGAAAAGTTAGAGAAAGACAAATGCAGCCCAATATGTCATTCTACAGATGCAGTTAAGAAAGATGAGGTAATTTGCCCAAGGTTACCCTCAGAGTTAGTAGCAGGGCTAGGCCTGGAAACAAGTTCTTTCAGTTCCCTGTCCCCAGTGCTTCTTTCATTAAACATCCCCAACTCTTGTTCAGCATTTGGTAGGTAAAGTATCATTCTGCCTATTTTCTTGATGAGTGAAAGAAATGAAATCACTTGCCCAAGATCACGCATATAGTAAGTGTTAAACGTAGGTATGAGGAAGACCAAGGGCCTTTTTATGCAGCAGTCAGTCATTCATTATACTATACATTCTGCATATATTGGCTGGCTGCCTTCCTTCTTTCCTGCTCTATCTTCCTCCTCAAATATATCATGAACACCTGAAATATTTCAGATCAAATAATGGGGTTGTAGTCACCTCAAGCTGGTGGCATAGTGGTTAAGCGTATGGCTGCTAACCAAAAGGTCAGCAGTTCGAATCCACCAGCCGCTCCTTGGAAACCCTGTGGGGCAGCTCTACCCTGTCCAGTAGGGTCTCTGTGAGTTGGAACTGACTTGACTGCAATGAATTTTTTATTTGAGTGACCTCAACAGAATTTAAGTGTGGTACAGTTCTTTTTAAAGGGATGAATGTGGCTCAAAGTTTTGATAGTGCACAGTGGTGCTGGTTTACAGGTCTTCCCCTTGAAAAACAAAGGTTTTGTGCTAGACTTTTCTTCCATACCTGTAAAGCAGTGTAAGTCTTGGTCTAACTGAACAAGCCAGCTTCTGCCTGCTTGAATATCTCAGGGCAGTATAATTGCTGTTGTAGTTTCCTGACTATTGACAAGAGACTTATCTTTTCAAATTCTTCTTCTGGGTGCTCTTGAAATGTGTGTCTCATGTATGTCAGTGTTGCCTAGTGTTGAATTTTCTCTGTGAGTGAAGGACAGAATGTTCTCTGTTGCACCAATAGCACTTTCCCATATACACTCAGGGAAAGCTTTTTCCCTCTCAACAGGGCTAAAAAGTCTTGACTGGAGTACTTCAGAAATAGACCTTGTTTATACTTTTATAAAAACAAGCAGAGTCAGGGCAACTCCTAGCTTGGAATAGCACTGATGATCTGAAATTCTCCTAGGTAAGCTCATGGATGGATAGTGCTACCAAAGGCACATGTTTAGTACTTTAATCCCCACTCAGAGTAAGGATAGTGGGTGCCCACCCCTTGTTTTGGTGAAAATGAAAGTGGTGTCTTTTGGAAAGAGAGACTGGTGTGCATTGGGAGCAAACACTGATGGCATGAGGGGAGTTTGATTTAGGGAACTGAGCTCAGGATGCCTGGATGTGTTCCATCATACAGTCCTCCAGGGAAAGAAGTTGGATTTTTTTCTTTATGGAATATGTTGATAGTCCATATGTACATTTGGAAAATAATTAAAATAATAATTAGGGTAACAGAAAATCTTGAATGAGGAATTTGCATAGAACCTTCCACTGAGCATGCTATATTTATTAGTATACTTTTGAAGTTCCGCAGATGAACCTCTGTACCTCATCTCTCTGGCTCCAAGAGACTCCTGTGAGGCTGAGGTGCCTGTTTGCACTGAGGTGGGAAGAACCAGAATTCCTCCTGCTCAGGGTGGGCCTATTTTGAAGGGGAGAGTTTGCCTGTTCTGGGAAGGTCTCCTCATGAGTGAAACTTGCTCACCCAGCATGTGACAAGGGAAGAATAGTGGAGATTAGGACTTTTCACTCTACTTTCCACAACATATACACTTCTCTTTCTTCTGGGGTAAGAAAGAAAAAGTAAAATGAACTTATAGTTAGGTTCCTGGGCTGTAAAACAGATCCTGCCAGTTCTCTGAAAAACCTCTCTAACATTTGGTCCTTTTTTTTCTCCCCTCTTCCTTAACAGTGTTTTTTTCTCAAGTGTAAAATCATGGTTTGGAGCCCGGGCTTTGAGACCAGATAGACTGTGGGTTGGCCATAGTGAATTATTAAAACTCTCATGATGTGGTTTGCTCATCTATAAAATGGAGACTGATGCTCTGTCCAGATGGTTGTGAGGATTAAATGACATAATGTGTATACAATGGTTAGGTCTCTAGCACATAGTAAGCTCTCAGTAAATGGCATCTATTATTATCATAGCGGGTATTCACTATATAGAACCTAGAATCATACTCAACATTGCACAAACACTGGTAGACATTATTATATTACTCATTTCAGTGGTTTATAAGGACCACCTCTATGGAGCTCTGCTGGGCATTCTATGTTTTCTTTCAACCTGACCAAATGCTCTGGAAGGAGGTGAGCAGCATGATTCCAACGAGGCACAGCACTGTCTGCAGCTTGTTTATTTCTGATGATCCTATGCATATTTGAAGTTTTCCTTTAGAAAGCAAAAAGCACAGCCTACTGGTGTGAATAGGCGCAGGTTATATGGGCAAGACTTTTTGGAAATTACGTTGCAATTGAATTTGGTAAGAATTTATTGAATATTTTTCATGTATCAGCCACAGCCTTCAGAGAGTGAAGAGTTAAGGTTCAGCATATTGGTTCCCTAAGACTTTTTTTTTAATTAAGGAAAAAAAAGTGGAAAGTAATTAGAAGTAAAATATGGAGCTCTCTGGGCATCTTGCTTTAACCGTACCCATCTGGGTAGTGATGAAGAACTTGGGTTTGAGTCTTGGATCTGCTACCAGCTAACCCTGTGACCTTGGGCAAATCATTTTACCTCTTTGAGTCTCAGTTTTCCTATCCATATACTGAAGATACTAATGTGTCCATTAAAGGATTACTTTAAGAACTAAGTGGGATAATTCATGAAGCACTTGGTTATAGCGCCTGGTCCTTAGTAGACTCTCGTCAATGTTGGTTGCTATTATTTTTTATTGTGGTAAATATATATGTAACAAAACATTTGCCTTTTCAACATTCTTCGTATGCATGGTTCAGTAATATTAATTACATTCATCGTGTTGCTCAAACATTACCTTTATCCATTCCCAAATTTTCCCATCACCCTTAACAGAAGCTCAGTGTCCCTTAATCATTGAGTCCTCTTTTCCCCCTCCCTCCTTCCTGCCCCTGGTAACCATAATAAACTTTGTTATGTATATATTTGCCTATTCAGGTATTCCATATAAGGGGGATCATACAATATTAGTCTTTTTGTGTCTTATTTCACTCATCATGAAGTTTTCAGGGTTCATCTGTGTTGTAGTATGTATCAGGACTTCATTTCTTTTTACGGCTGAGTAATACTCCATTGTGTGTATGTACCACATTTTGTTTATCCATTCATCTGTTGATGGATGTTTAGGCTGTTTGACCTTTTGGCTATTGTGAACAGTGAATGAATACTGGTGTGCAAATATCTGTTTGTGTTCCTCCTTTTAGTTCTATTGGGTATACACCTAGGAGTGGAATTGATGGATCATATTTTATCTCCTTCTTTAGCAGCCAAAAAGATTTTCTTTTGAGGCATCATGACTGATTAAGTGATTCTAAGTCAGGAGTGTCCCAAGTGGTCCTTGAGTGAGTCTTATTTTGGTGTGTTTGGGGCTATAAGACCTTAGGGGTGCTTTTAGGCTGTGGTTTTTTAATTGAAACATACTCTTCCCACCCTCTGTTTCAGTATTCAGGATTTCACACGGAAAGATCTGAATCTGATCATGACAGCCAGTGGGGTGGAAGTCCCCTGACAGACACAGCCTCTCCACAGCTCCTGGACCCCGCGGACAGGCCCAGCTCTCAGCATGACACGTCGTGTGCCTATAGACAGTTCTCAGACCGCAGCTCTCTGTGCTACGGCTTTGCGCTCGACCATTCCAGGCTGGTGGAGGAGAGGCATTTCCACACCCAGGCCTGTGAGGGAGGCCGGTGCGAGGCAGGCAGGTACTTCCTGGGAAAGCCACAGGCCAGGAGGGAGCCCTGGTGGGGCTCTCGAGCAGCCTTGCCCCTAACTAAGGCCTCCCCAGAGAGCAGAGAAGCCTATGAAAACAACATGCCTCACATCGCCTCAGTCCACAGGATCCACGGTAAGAGCGGCTGAAATGACTCTTGAATGCACATCATTAGACCCATAGGCAGTTTTAGAACATTCTAGCTATGACACATTGTGACTGACCCAAATGACTTTCGCTTTTGAATTCACAAAGCAGAAACTCACACCAAAGGGGTTTAAGAAACCAAACCTACTCTGTTTAAGTGTATTGATTTTGTTAATGTTTGCCAAATACATTTTTTTGAGAATCAAATAAAAATGATCCCCGTTTTAACCATCAAATATGTATAGAAATTAAATTAAAATGAATTAAGAGTCTATTGAACTTGTAGTATGTGCACATTTAAATTTCTCTTGTGTATTTTCTTATGCTTCCAATGTGAACTTGAAAAGTGTTTGGCTTCACTTATTTATAGTTGTTCTTTAGTGAGGGCTCAGTGTTCTCTGAAGTACTAGCCTTTGTTTTATGGATTGTCATTCATATCACAGAATGTTTAAACTTTCTGGTTCCCTAAACAGTAAATATCAGTAGCCCTCTTTCCCTCATTATTATGATCACCCACGACATCCCCAGTGAGTAAAGGATGGAGTGATATGTAGAACTCACTGAAATTTTCACCTTGGGATTATTATATGGCTTTAGAAACGCATGGAAATGGGAACAACAGTTAAAGCATTTAATGTTAGGGAAGTTTTTCAGTGTTCATTGTAAAGTAAATTGGTTTGGAGCTGTGGTGGTGCAGTGGTGAAGCCTTTGGCTGCTAACCAAAAGGTCAGCAGTTTGAATCCACCAGCTGCTCCTTGGAAACCCTATGGGGCAGTTCTACTCTGACTTCTAGGGTTGCTATGAATCAGAAATGACTCAATGGCAACGGGTTTGATTTTTTTTTTTTTTGGTTGTTTGTTTTTTTGGTTATGGTTCCATTCATTCCAAGGTTGAGTCCAGGCAGATCTTTGAAACTCCCCCTATTTCATTAAAAGTCAGTGACATTACTATTGATCCAAAAGTCCTGATACTACTCTTCTTGCTGTGTCCTTAAGAGGAGACATTGTTGTCCCCAACCCTAATGTCTTCTGTCCTGACTTCAAATACCACTGATACAGGGCCCACCTTTTTATGAGTGATTTTAGATTTATTTCTGTCCTTGCTTTTTATTTTTCTGCTTTTACTTTCAGTTTCTTTAGTTTGGTAGACTAGCAATGGAAACCCAGGGCAAAGGGCAATTGCTTGCAAAAGAATAGAGTGAAGTGAAAATCCTGGCTTAACCTATGTAGTCTGAAAGGAAATATTAGAAATAAAATAAGAAGGAAAGGGAAAAGGAAAGCAATGAATAGTGTGATCCAGGGCTTCTCTGCTGCATTAAGCAGTTTACAGCTTTCATCTGTCCCTTCCTGCTTCGCTTCTCTCTTTTTATATTGACTTCAGACTGTTTTGAGAATAATCTAGTTTGTGGAATATATTTTATATACACTATTCCTCAAAATTAGATCTCTCTGCTTGGTTCAGAACAAGTTGTGACTAAAATGTTAAGTATTTATTTATTCTTCACCTTATTTCAGAAGGAATCTAAGATACCTAAGTTGCTATATGATATCTGTGAAACTGAGATTTTTATCCCTAGATTTGAGAAAATAATATCTGTATTTTTTGATCGGGGCAAACCCTCAAATACCCCCCCTCAAAACAAAACAAAACAATAAACCTAACATTAGAGATTTATTGTAACTCTACTTAAAATACATTTAGCAGTATTAATGTTTTAGGTGATTTATTTCAAATTGAGAAAGTCTCGCCTATATCATTATTGCCTTCTTCAAACCCAAGTGAAAATATTTTTCAAGCATCAGTTGAACATGAGACTGCTGTAGAAAAATAACACAAGCCAAATTTTATGCTTTCTCCTTTTATTATTTCTATTGATAAATGATTCAATGACATGCATACATGGAGAATACATACATTTTACCATTTTGCTAATTGGCATTCACAAATACACAAACAAAGTTAACCTTCTGAGAAACTTGTTATAAACTTCATCTGTCCTAAAAAGCCACTGAGAAGTATGAATTCGGTACAATAAGGTGACAGTCTGTCATGTGAGCCTGTGTCGGTTTCAAATATTGGTGTGTATATTAAAAATTAAAGATAGAAGATTTCTCCTACTAGGAAAAAGAAATGTACTTAAATATTTTGGAGGTGAGTTTTGAGACCACTTACTTTTTGCTTTTTCTAATTTCTAGGGCGAGGTCATTGGGATGAAGATAGTGTGGTCAGTTCTCCAGACCCCGGGTCTGCCAGCGAATCAGGCGACCGATATCGCCCTGAGCCATATAGTAGCCCACATGAACCTAGCAAAATTGAAACTCTTATAAGAGCCACCCAGCAGATGATTAAAGAAGAAGAGAACAGATTGCAGCTAAGGAAAGCACCCCCAGACCAACTGGCTTCCATTAACGGAGCTGGGAAAAAACACTCCCTCTGTTTTGCAAACTACCAGCAGCCCCCACCAACAGGCGAAGTCTGTCACAGCTCTGCTCTTGCCAGTACTTCACCATGTGACCATATCCAGCAGAGAGAGGGAAAGATGCTGAGCCCCCATGAAAATGACTATGACAACAGCCCCACTGCACTGTCTCGGATAAGTAGCCCCAGTTCAGATCGCATTTCAAAATCCAGTTTGATCCTAGCCAAAGACTATCTACATTCGGATATATCGCCTCATCAGACAGCAGGAGACCATCCTGCCGTCTCTCCAAACTGCTTTGGCTCTCACCGGCAGTATTTTGATAAGCATGCTTACACATTAACTGGATACGCCCTGGAGCACTTGTATGACAGCGAAACCATTAGAAACTATTCCTTGGGCTGTAATGGCTCACACTTTGACGTAACTTCCCATCTAAGGATGCAGCCAGACCCTGCACAAGGACACAAGGGAACATCTGTTATAATAACCAATGGAAGCTGATGTTTTTCTAAAATATTTTGTTCTTTAAGGATCTCTGAAACATATTTATGTTTGAATGCCCCATTACCAGCATTTACTATGCCACAGAATATTAGTGAGGATAACCTAAGTTACTCGGTATTTGACATGTGTTCCTGTAAAAACAAAGAAAACATAGCACTAATATTCAGAGTTATATGCAGATAATGGAGCTAAAGTGAATACACAAATTGCCCCTCTAATTATATGGAAAGTAGAATAGATAAATTCTGAACTGAAAAATACTCATGTAGATCAAGTGGTCAGTCTATATACCCCATGAAAGGACTGATAGATGACAACATCACATTTTGACGATCCAGTGAACATCACACACTCAGACTGCTATTCACAAACTGCTGTGCACATGTCACATGTAGAAATACAGAATTTGTGCCATAAAATACACAAAAAGTGTGTAACTTTTCTTACCCTAGCCTATTAAGCTTCTAAATGATGTAAAGAAATTTCTATCCCCAAAATTACGAGAAACAGAGAGAGAGAGAGATACATCTTGTGAACTTCTTTCTTTGTGGTTGCAACAAGCAAGCTCATTTGGCTCAGGCATAAATTAAGGAAATGGTTCTGGATATGGTACAAGAATGAGTTTTCACCTGGTATCCATTATCAGCAATCAGGAAGTGGTGATTTTTCACCTTACTTTGGAGTTCGACAACGAACAGTGTTGCATTGACATAGCAGTAATACTTTTGCTAAATAGAAGCACTGAGATATCGGGACACACATCAAAAACCTCAATCGGTGTGCTCAACTGGAAGTAGTTTACTGAAGGTAGAAATACCATAGGCAGACAAAAATGAAACAATATCTAAAAACAAACAAGCATTCAGCGTATGTGTGCCACATAGTAATCAACACATTTGAGGCTTATAAAACCAACCAGACAAAAAATTCAAACCAATTCACCAAGAAAAAAGCACGATGAGTAAGTTATGAAAAATAACCAAGGGAAACCAGGAAAGTGCTATATGAAAGCAGTGTGTTTGCAAACGTTTCAAAACACAGATGTGCAAATGTGACAACATGTGGAACGCCTCAGTAGAGAGTCTAAGAGAAAAGCTTAGGCTGATAGACAAGAGGTTAAAAGGGGCAAGAGTAGTACTCTGATGGAAGGAGCAGGAAAAGTGTCTGTAAACAAACAGACTTGTGGTATAGTAGAGAGACCAACAAGACTAGATGTCAAGATCTCTAGGTTCCAGTTCTGACCCTGCCTGTCATTTATTTTGTGACCATAGATGCATTACTTATCACATCTAGATGATGTTTCCTGATCTGTAAGGAAGCTCCAAAATTCCGTGGTTCTGTGGTTCATTAGAGCAGCAGAACTGAACTTGTTACCTAGTTAATGTTCTGCTGTGAGTTGTCAAGACTGATCATGATGGCTTTTCTGCACTCACACAGAAGTTTAGCTGCCTTGTAGCTCAAGCAGGTGCATGGGCTTTTTTGGCATGTATAGCTATGGCCACAGCCCTGGTGGCACAGTGGTTAAAGCATTTGATTGCTATCCGAAAGGTCAGCGGTTCAAATCCACTAGTTGCTCCTTGGAAACCCTAAGGGGCAGTTCTACTCTGTCCTATAGGGTCACTATGAGTGGGAATCAACTCGATGGCAGTGGGTATAGCTGTGGCCAATTTTCTAGATTGAGCCAAACTGTAGGTGGTAGAAACTGATGAGGGAGAGGAAAAATTAGCAAGATTTATTTAATACATTATTCTCTAGTAATCAAAGCAAAGTGACATAAATGATTATAGAAGTTTCATAGATAGTATTTCCTAGGAGTCCCATGCCTGAAACTTTTGCCACATTCGAGGAGGGGGATGTACTAAAAGAACTTGACTTATAATTTTGAAAACAGAGCACGACATGGAACACTCAGGGATTAGTACTATATTTTCACCAGTTAACACAGTTATTTTAGAGTCCATAGGTAAGTGACAATCTGAAAAATGATAATCTGAGAGATAAACACTGAGGAGGCTTCATAAAATTAAGTATTTCTTGGGTATGACAGAGCAACATTTGTGGTGTAAATGGGGAAAAAGTACAAATAAGTGAGAAACTTAGTGGTTATAATATATACTTTCAAAAAAGTTCAAAGTACAATAAAAACTAAATTCTGAATTATAAAAGCAACTTCAGTAATTTTGAGAAAACTTTTTGAGAAACCTTGGAATACTTAAAATGGATTTTTGATCAATTTGCAACATGAAGTAAGGTTTTAGGAATGCTAAAGATTTTATAGAATTGTGCAGATGGGTAAATGGTCAAAGACATAAATATCTGAAAAACATGATATATTTTGGAAAGAAAACTATACTGATGGGCTTTACTAATGGATATACATTATGCCAAATGTCTCAGGGACAGATGCTAGAAGAGAAATGGAAATTTAAGAATCAAGGAAAATGAACTGGTATTACAAAAATGCTTTCACTAAAGAAATTTCAGTGACATTTTTATATGGAAGACAGTTAATTGGTAGAAGAAATAAATTATGAACTCCATAAATAGGGGGTTCCTGGAAGGAGTAATGCTCTTTAAAATGGTATGACCAATACTTTGAAGGAAGACAGAATTAACCAAATTACATCTTGATTAAAAACTTGTGGTAGATTGACCCAGTTTTAAATACATAAGAATTCATTTGATTTACCGAATGTCAATAATTTTATAGTAGCAGCTTTATTACATTACATATAATGCCTTAAAGGCCCACAGTATTACATACCTTATGTTTTTTTTTTCTCAATATGGCATTCTTATTGCAAAATGACCTATAATAAGTTAAGACATTTATGACAAGATACCTTCTTAATATACACATAGATGTTAAAATGTATTCATAATCTATGTTATTTTGTTCCCTGCAGGAACATAGTTCCTCAAAATGCAGATACATAATCTGTGTCTTTAATTTGGGATATAAAATAAATGTGTCCAATAACTTAATCAGTTAAAATTAAACTAAAATTGGCTTTAGTTTTAATCTTTGATTTCCATAACTTTGCTAAATGCTGAGAACTATAACACTTGACTGAAACAGCAAGAGAAGTAGGATTTTTAAGTCACCTGAAGGATTCATAAAAATGTGCTATGTCCAATTATTGGTACAATATGTATCAATTCATTAGATGATACAAAGCTCACACTTTCTAGTAAGAATATCCTTATGACTCCATTTTACCTGCTGTAATTAAAAAATTTGAGTAACCAAAGAAATAAATGAGTATTTCTCCTATCTCCTTTGAAGAAAAAATTTTTGTTAGAACTATTATTGAGAATATAGTCAGATTTGATGTATTTTAAGTGCATAATATTAATGTCACAATCACTACAGGTCAGCCATTTAGGTGTGCTTTAAATCTACAAGTCTTTTGACATACTGTATTGAATATAATGTGCTAGCTTTTCTTAACTGTAATTGCCTGATGCTGAATGATCTGACATAGTGTTAACGTGACATTCAGAAAGAGTCAGGATACAGTAAATGATTTGCCTTTAGTGTTTATACGGTAAAACCACTTATTCTCTCTTGATTGTGTTTTATAGGACTAGACTATTTCCATTGGGTCCTATTCTTAATTCTCTCTATACCCTGCTGCCACATGCTGCCTCTGGGCAGAGAATCCCACTTAAAATAAGCTTTAATGGGATCTTCTGGAAAAGGAAAATATGCTCCATTTTTCTTATCTCTTTTTTTTAAATGAGGGATGAGGATCAATTCTAATAAAAGATCATTTGGAAAATATGCACAGGTATTTTTAAAATAAAGAATTTTTTTTTCAAGACTTAGACCAAATAAGTCTGATGGAAAACAGTTTAGCTAAAGAGACATTCTGAATACAGATTTACTATTTTATAGCTCTCTCTCTCTTTCTAGAGCAGGATGTTACTAAGATATTTGGTGCAATTGTATTAGTACTGATAATACTTGGGAGTGATAGTGAATGCTGATATTTGGAAAACTGAGTATTTGGCCATTTGGGGGTTGCTCACCTTGCCTACTGGAATATGTTACACTTTAATAGCACTCTCTTTGATTTTAAAAGTTCAAGTGCCCAGGTTTGGCTCTCCAATTCTCTCAAATCATAGGATGTAGACATACATCCTGTTTTCTCAATGACTTAATAAAGAGTGTAAATCCTGTGGTCCCCCAAAGAAGTGACTCACCTTTCATGTAAATGTCAGGTTTTTGTGAATAGGGGTTTGACTCTAAGACAGTAAGATCTATTGGCTAGTTTTTACTGGAAAATGTATTGTGGATAAAATATTATTTTAAATTTGAATGAGTCACAGAACAGCTGTGGACACATGCAAAGAGTATCATATATTGGAAATATTCTTGGGGGGAATTTCCATATGGTGCTCATTTCTTGTGCACAAAGGTTGTACGGGTGGTGCTTAACTCAAAAGGTGAGATTGTGTTAATTTCCAAACGGGTTTGTTCAGAGTTCCTTCTCCAGGTCTGTATGAGGAAATGCTAATTGTAAAGCAAGTAATAAGATTCTATTCTGCTGTGCTCCTTAAAGACTAACAGTTCACATAAAAATCCTAATTAATAATTTTAAACCAAACATTTATAGTTTTATTTATTGCAATTTTGCTGCATGGGACTTTGCTTTCATAAACGTATATAGTCGGGGGTTTGTCCTAATTTGCTGATCTGGAACATATTTAATCACAGTTGAATTTACTCCCAACAACCCTGGTGTGTTTACATTTCAAAGAAATGAAATCGACTTGGAAAAATTTATAGAAGTACTGTAACTTTTTTTTTTAATCTAAAGGGAAATATTTCAAAAAATGAAACATGCGCAAACACTTCAAAAAAGATAAAATATTGTATGTTTGTTTTTTGGCTGACATGCTATAAAAAAGGATTATATTTGTGAAAGAAGTTACTGATTGTCAGTATTTCACATACCATCTCGCAATGTATAGTTTCTAGTGACATCATAGTATAAATGCTGTAATTTGAACTTTGGAATGTAAAGTAGAAGATATTAGCTATGTCAACGATAACTTGCAAAGTGTTCCCATTTATAATTATTTATATTGTAAATAGCTTTCTGAAGTAAATTTGAAGTTAATGTGCATAAAATGTATTTATTATGTGAGGAATTTTTTGGTTTAAAATATAGTTACCATTATGCAGTTTGAGTCTGAATTATTCATTGAAAGAAAAATCTCTATAGGACAAAATAGACTATCAATTAAAACACTAGTGCTGTAAGTAAACAAGTACCATTTTAGCTCTAGATTCTTATGGAATGGGTAACACACACACACACAAAACTTTGAGACCCAGCAATAGAAATTTACACCTCTGTACAGTAACTCTTACATTATGGTCTTGATTTTCATTAGACACTGGAGAATTGTTTCTCAATGTTTCTTTATGACATCTTAAACAAAATTTATTAGGTCTCCCCTTTGCTAAAATAAAATGAGAGATTTGAAAGTACAGATTACATTTTTCATGCCCAAGGGAAAAGAAAACCTGTATCAGGATTATGTATTTCACTGGCATTCAGATGAAAAACATCCTGGATAATCTTTATTTTGGAATCCAAAGTATTTTTAAAATTCAGAATTAAAAATTAAGGTCAAACAGAAATAGATTTTTATGTGTTCTCTCAGTCTCATTTATAGTGTCCAACCCATTTTTTTCTTCTTCCTGGGATTTCTGATTAACCCCAATGTGTTTCAGAATTTGTCAATCATTGACCAATTCAACAAACCTACATAATATCTTTTTTATTCAATGGAAATGATGTCTGTATTTCATAAAGCTTTTTGTTTTACAAAGCTGAACAAATATTAACATTAATATTTGAGCAATTATCAGATATTTTCTAACAATTCTTCAACATACTTGTTTTAGTGCTTTTGTTTCTGAAAAATATTGCTTACACCTACCTCATTATTCACAATAACTGCACTTCCAAGTTAATTTGCAACATTTACTGAATACCTACTATGCATTCCAAATGGGATACACACTAAGAATCTCTTGTTGCAAGGTATCATGGGAAAATATATACAGTGGGTCTTTATTTTCCTTAGTGCTTTGAAGGTATAAATTCTTTAGCTAATAAAAAAACGGCCAGCATTCATTGAACCATCAGGTTCCAGGCACTGAACCAAGCTCAGACCATCATGAGGGAGATGCCAACATGCCCTATTTCAGTAATGAGGAAACAAGACTCAGAGTAGTTAGGCAGCTTAACTAAGGTCCCAGAGCTAATAAGTGATGGAGATGAAATTTGAAGCCAGGAAGTTTTACTCTAAAAACTTAGTTCTTTCTACTTTCTTTATGTAATAATAATTCAAGAAAAAAAATGGTGGGGGGAAAAGAAAAAACACTGGCCAAAAGGTGGTTGTGTAAAACATATCACTCAGCTCAGTCAAATGGTGGCTGCAGCAGCTCCATGTATGGTCTCAGCAGC